CTAGGCCCGAAACGTCAGTCTTCCTGCTCCTCTGATGCTGCTTGGCCTGCTGTGTTCATCCAGCTCTACACCTTGTTATCTCAGATTCTCCAGCATCTGCAGTTCCTACTATCTCTGAGTCATTTTACGAGAGTTCTTTTTTAACAAAACATTTGGGTTCATGAAGATTTTGGCTGTTACAGTCAAATGATTAAACTTGAATACTGAAAGTCCATTTTCTGTAAGATCTTAACAATGCTCATTTGAGAAATTGAGACTAATATATTGTATGGATCTTTGAACTTTTTACAGCTTAGTTAAGTATTAACCAAAATAGTGGAAGAGAAAGACAATAAAAGATATTCTCCAAACCTCTCGGAGTGAAATTGTAAACCTCTCAAATAAATGACAATGGTAATGTGTGATGGACACTAAAATAACACAAATAAAATGAAAAAAATTTATTGGTGGTAGCAAAAGTATTGTGATAAATGCAAGATGATCTTTACATTCTTGTATATTATCGGTGCCATTGTTTCTTTAAAGTTTGCCCTCAGAGTATCACAGACAACCAATTCTTTTTGTAGTTGCAGTCTGCTGATCATGTTGTTTCACACAATATGATATTATTTAGAATGTGTCAAAATCATTGGATCATTGTCAAAGTGGTTTCAAATTTTAACATTGAATGTTGCCAGTCAGTGCCTGTGATTGAAGATGCCAGTCCGAAAGGATAGTAGTAAAAAAAATCATAGAATCCCTACAGTGTAGAAGCAGGCCATTCAGCCCATTGAGTCCATACCACACGTCCAAAGAGCATCCCACCTTATTCCTGCATTTACCATGGTTAATTCACCTAGCCTGCACATGCCTGGACTGTGGGAGGAAACCCAAGTAACGTGAGGAGAATGTGCAAATTTCACACTGTTGCCTGGAATTAAACCCTGGTCCCTGGTGCAGTGAGGCAGCAGTGCTAACCAATGAGCTACCATGCTACCCATGTTCACTCATTCACTCAGAATTTGAAGATTATGCAACCTGTACAACATTGTTGCTTCTTCTGCTCTGCTGAAATCTGTAACGTCAGAAAAATACACTTCCTGGAGTCTCACCATTTGGGGTTGGATTCTAACCTGTACATCTCCGAAGTGAAACATTTGCACTCAGAGCTTTGGCATGCCAAAGTATTCCTGGGAAAAGTGAAACAATATGGCCAAGGACCAAGGTGAAGGAGATGTACTGGAATCACAATGAGCTACACAGGAATCAGCTTTAGCCCCAAAACAACTGAAATCACTGTTCTGTCAGACTTCAAAATATTTCCTGTACCTTTTAAGCTTTTAAGTAAACACAGGAATTGTGACTAAATTCAATATTTGATCACATTATTACAATTCGTTTCTGTTTGGTTTAAAAAAAAGAGATGTTTTGTTTGGTGGCAGAACTTTATATTTTGTTTCACCTAAACTGTGAAAGGGGGCTGGCTGCAGGGATTTTATTTTGCTGAGTTGGGGCAATCCTTTTTAATCCTCTAAAATTTAATCCTTTAATCAATTTTGATTTGCCTAGTTCATTTTAATGACTATGTGAAATACACAGTTTACATACCAACACATGCAGATACATGTTAAATGAAATGCTGCACATACTTCTCTTTCAGAAATGTGGTCCAACACACCCAGAAAAAATAATCTGAACAACATTCTTGTAGCAGCATGATGTAACTAAAGATGACGTCCAAAACTATTTTACAGAGCGAGTAAGAATGCTACTTTTAAGGAGTTTTCACTACTTTTAAAATAGGCTTGTTAGTTAACCTATTTAAATCTCACTTGTACAATGCAATTTTACTTCAGTTTTGTTTAGAATAGCAGGAAGACAATTTCATAAGAAATAACTATAGTCCAGCTAAGAATGCCGTGGGTGGACTCACCCAGACACCAGCCTCACCATGAAATACATGTTCCCTTCCAGTTTCTGTGCTTTAATGAGAATAACTTCATACTGGCACTGTGGAAAATGTGATTTATAGTGTATCAAATGCAATGAAACAATTTTTTCATGTTATTCAAAATTGAAATCTTATGACTTATCTAGTCTCCACATCATAAAAATGTTGTAGAGGTAATCTACAATGATTTAATAAAGGGATATTAGAACTGACAGTATATACTAAACGATAAAGCCTGAATAGTCTGGGATTCTCTTCTTAAGAAAACAGAAGGTTGAAGAGACCTGATAGAGCTCTTTAATAGTATGAAACGGTTTGATAGGATACACATAGTGAAGATAATTCCACTTTTGCTGAGATCTGAAATATAGGCTATAATTATCAGAAAGTCCAAAAAATCCAATCAAGAATTTAGGAAAAATTTATTCACCCAAGTAGCAGTTAATAACATGGAACATAAATAGGATACAAAAAAATGTTGATAGGTCCAGTGTGTGGGCAAAGATTAGCAAATGAAATATACTATGTGAAATTGTCAATTTTGGCATAAAGAATGAAAAAAGAACATATTAGCCACATATGAGAGATTTCAAAGCTCATGGGACGTGAGTATTGCTGGCTGGCCAACATTTATTGTCTGTCCATAGTTAACCTTGGGAAGATAGTGGTGAGCTGCCTTCTTGTATTGCAGCGGTTCACGTGCTGCAGTTGACCCACAACGGACCTTAGGGAGATAGTTCCCAGGATTTTGACCCAGTGACAATGAAGAAATGGTGTTATATTTCCAAACCAGGATGGTGAGTGGCTTAGAGGGGAATCTGCAGTGGTGGTGGTGTTCCCATGTATTTGCTCCCCTTGTCATTCGAGATGGAAGTGGTTGTGGATTTATAAGATGCCATCTAAGGAACTTTGCTGAATTTCTGCAGTACATCTTATAGGTGGTTCATACTGCTGCTATTGAGTGTTGGTGATGGAGGGTATGGATGCTTGTGGATCAGGTGCTAATCAAGCAGGCTGCTTTGCCCTGGATGGTGTCAAGCTTCTTGAGTGTTGTTGAAGCTGCATCCATTCAGACAGGTAAACAGCCTTCATGCTGCTGACTTGTACCTTGCAGATGATGGATAGGCTTTGGGAAGTCCGGAGTTGAGTAACTTGCCTCCGTATTCCTAGCCTACTCGTAGTCATTAAGATACAAAGGGATCTGGTGTACGAATCACAAAAGGTGGTTGCATTTTAGATCAAGAAATCAGGAAGGTGAACGAAATGTCGTCATTTATTGAGAGGGGAATTGATGCAAAAATAGAGAGTTTATGATTCAGTTATTCAGGGCACTGATGGGGCCACATCTGCTGAGTACAGTATTGGCCATTTGTTTGAACAAGGATCTAAATGTATTGGGAAGGGCTCCTTTGGCACAATGGCAGTGTACTGAGTCAGAAAGCCTCGATTTAAGTCTCAACTGCTCCAAAGGTGTATCATAACATGTTTGAACAAGTTGATTAAACATGTCTATAAATATATTGGAAGCTGTTTAGAGAAGGTTGACCAGATTAATACACGGAATGGGTGTGTTCTCTTATGAGGAAAGATTTGTCAGACAAGGCCTCTATCCACTAGAGTTTACCAGAGTAAGAGACAACTTGATTTCAACATATAAACTCCGAAGGGATCAGGACAAGTTAGATGTAGGATGGTGGGACAACAAGGTGCAGGGCTGGATGAACACAGCAGGCCAAGCAGGATGGTGTCTCCTTATATAGGAGAATCTCAAATGAGGGGTCACCCGTGTAAAACAAAAATTAATTCCGGTATTGGATGACTGTCTGTGTGGAGTTTGCATGTTCTCCGTGTCTACATGGGCTTCCATTGGGTACTCTGGTTTCCTCCCACAATCCAAGGGTGTGCAGATTAGATGGATTAGCCATAGTAAATGGGGGGTTACAGGTATTGGGTGAAGGTCCGGGTGGGATGTTCTTTGCAGCATCGGTGCAGGCTTGATGAGCTGAATGCCTTGATTCTATGAAGTGATTTTCTTTCTCAGTGCCATGAGTCTTTGGGACACGCTTACTGAAAAGATGGTGGAAGCAGACCCTTTGAATATTTTTAAGGCAGAGGTGAATTGGTTCTTGGCAAGCAACAGGGATGAAATGTTATTGAGGTAAGCAGAAAGGGTCTGATGAAGGGTCTAGGCCCGAAACGTCAGCCTTTCTGCTCCTACGATGCTGCTTGGCCTGCTGTGTTCATCCAGCTCTGCACCTTGTTGTCTCGGATTCTCCAGCATCTGCAGTTCCTACTATCTCTGAGGTAAGCAGAAATATGGCTTTGAGGTTACAAGTCCACGAATTTAGTAAATGGCGGAGCAAAGTCAAGGGACTGAATGGACTAGTCCTGCTTCTTTCTGTATATTAATTTCACTGTGAACAAATAAGAAAAAAGAGCATGTGGGAAAAATTGTTGTTTTTGTTCGGAGAAATCAGGTTTTAATAATGTAGCCTACTTGATTAACAATCATGTTTTTGATTTGGAAACATTACATGTCTCCAATTATTTATGTATTTTTGATACATAATTTTAAAATGTTTTCTGAAATTAATATTTGTATTCCTACAGCCTATATCATTTTGTGTACTGAGCTCTTTCAACTTCAACTTAAATAAAACAGACCCTTAAATAAGGACATTTTCATGTTATGACCATTCTTCTATTGCTCACGAACAGTTTTGGAAGTAATATGAAAAGCATACCTTACGTAAATGTACACTGTAATGTATTTTTAAAAAGCAAAGAAGAATCCAGTGGCACTTTACTTCCGCTATCTCATCGAAGGAGCTGAGATTGACCGAGGAGTGGAACCTGCTCTGCGATTGGATACAGGGGTGAACTTTGGGATGTGATTGGCCAAAAGATAGACGCTGGGCTATGATTGACGTAGGGGTCGTTGCTGAGCTGTGATTGGCCATGTTGGTAGAAGCTAAGCTGTGATTAGTCAAATGGCGGAGGCCCCACCTCTATTGGCTGTTTTTGTGGAAGTTGGGCTGTGATTGGCCAAGAGCCAGACACCGCGTTGCCATTGGCTGCGGGGTAGCAGGTGCGCTCTGGTTGGCTATTGGAGTAGATACGGCGTTGTGATTGGCCAAGTGGCTAGCCCTGCGCTGCCATTGGCTGGGCGTGTGGAAGATGCTCGACGGAGCGCCTGTGCAATAAAGTGGACGTCAACGGGGTGAGTGTGTGCTGAGCGTCTGACTTTCGCCGCTTGGAGGAGAGAGTGACAGTAGCTGGGAGCTGGTGTCACTGCCTGCCTGGTGAGTGGTGAAATAGTGGACAACACGCTGAGTTAGATAGTTAATTAGTTAGACAGACAGACCCCATCTTTGGGATAGTACTGACGGACTGAGTGGAGGTTAGGCCCGGTTTTGACCCTGGGACCGGGCCGCGGAGGGAGTGGCTGTGACTTAAAAGTGCGACCAGAACTGGGCATTGACCAGGCCCCGGCTCAGTGATTCAATGGGACTGACCTCTGATTAATTCCATGGGCCTAGAGGGTTTCGGCCTGTGAGGACTGACTGCAGTGTTTGCGGGCATGGGCAGAGCCGAGGGTTGTTCCTCCTGGATGGTGGCTGATGTTTTTTTTGGGATAGTCGAGGGTCTGAGGAGTTTCCCCACCTCAACTCAAAGCGACCGCATAATTTTTCTGGTTCGTGGGAGGTTGGGATCCCTTCTCTTTCGCGTACCGCTATGTAATATTGCATAGCCTGGTACCGTGTTTGGCTGTGTTGTCCTTCCTCGCCCATTCCACGATATCCAACCTCCACAATACATTTTTGTTACAGATTTAAAGAACTACGCAGTTCCTCTTTTTTGGGAATCCTGTTATATGCTGTTACAATTATAGGTGACTATGAAGAACAAGTTTTTTTTTTATTGTTGCATTAAATTGGAAAAAAACCGCTTAATTTTCTGCATTTTCATTGCAGTATTCTGTTTAACACAAAATCCCTTAAGACAATGCTGTAGTTATTGTTCATTGAATATCCTTTAATAATAAAATCTGCTAGTTCCCTTCAAGCTACTCAAATCCTGGCTTGGAAATATACCACTGTTCTTTCAGTGTCACTGGGTCAAAATCCTAGAACTCTCCTTTTAATGGCATTTTAGGTTATTCTGCACCAAATAGATCGCAAATTTTCAAGAAGGCAATGCCGCATCACTTTCTCGGACAATTGGGGAAGGATAGTAAATGCTGGCCCAGTTGGTAACATCCACCTCTCATGAATGAATACAAAAACCCAAGTCAAGTGGTAGTTATTTTTGTGATCGTGGTTCGTGTAGGGAACTGTTTACTTAGAATTTGTTTACAACGCAACATTTATCTTGAACAAAAACAAAGCTGCTGGAAAAGCTCAGCAGGTCTGGCAGCATTTGTGAAGAAAAAAAGAGTTCATGTTTGGGTCCGGTGACCCTTCCTCAGAACCTGGACCCGAAATATTAACTCTGTTTTTTCCTTCACAGATGTTGCCAGGCCTGCCGAGCTTTTCCAGTAACTTTTTGTTTTTGTTTTTGTTCTTGTTCCTGATTTATAGCATCGGCAGTTCTTCCGGTTTTTAAATTCGATCTTGACTTTGAAGTACATATGTTGACAACCCAATGATAGGTTGGCAGATAGGCTGGGACTTTTTCAATGGAGCGTAGGAGTTTCAAGGGTGATTGTTGTAGAGGTTTATATAATCATGAGGGGTATAGATAAGGTGAATAGCAAAGGTTTTTTCACCTCAAGTAGGGGATTTCAAAACAAGGAGGCATACTTTTAAAGTGAAAGGAGAGAACCAGTGGGGCAACTTTTTCACAATAGAGGGTTTGCATGTGTGATGAACTGCCAGAGGAAGTGATAGGTACAGTTACACGTCCAGATGTCTGTTAAATGTTGTATGTGCTAAACGCAGGCAAGTGGGACTAGTTTAGTTGGGGAAACTTGGCTGGCATGGTTGAGTCAGACCAAAGGGTCTGTTTCCATGCTGTATGATTTTATAAGCAAAACTAGCTGTTTTTCTTCACCCTAATGTGGAGATTTTGGGTTTTGATTGCAGCTAAGTAACATTGCCTAGCCTTTCTGTGGCACCAATGACCATCTCCACTAAGTGGCAATCTAACCGCCACCACCACCCTCTGATATTCAATGGTTACCATTACTGAATCCCCATGGTCAATGTCCTTAGTGTTGTCAGTGACCAGAAATGCAACTGGCCTTGCCATGTAAATGCAGAGGCTACAAGAGGAGGTCAGAGACTAGGAATACTGCAGCAAGTAACTCACATCCTGATTCCCTAAGCCTGTCGACCATCTACAAGGCCCAATCAGGAGTGTGATGGGATGCACCTCATTTGCCTGGAAATGTGTAGCTCCAGCAACACTGAAGGTGCTTAACACCATTCAGGGCAAAGCAGCCTGCTTGATTGACACTACACTTACCAGCATTCAACTTGCTCCACAACTGACCTTCAGTAGCATCTACAAGATGCATTGTAGAAATTTGTCAAAGATCCTTAGCACCTTCCAAACTCATGACCACTTTCATCTTGAAGACTAAGAGCAGCAGATCACCGACAAGTTCCCCTCCAAGCCACTCACCATCCTGACTTGAAAACATTCCTTCACTGTCTCTGGGTCAAAATTCTGGAATTCCTTTCAATTTACAGCACGGGGACTGCAGTGGTTCAAGAACACAGTTCACCCCTCCTTCTCGAGAGCCAGTAGTGAAGGACAATAAATGGTGACCACCTAGTGACACCCATGTCCTGTAAGTGAAATTTAAAAAAAAAAACTGAAGTGGAAATGCTGAGTGGTCTGGAGTACAGTAAGATGTTGTAAATGTACAAGAGACTAGTGAGTTTTACATGGTATCAGTTGGACTTTTTTGGTTCTGTGGATGGGTAAGAATCTAGATGGTTACCAACCAGCATTCAAGAGCTTCTGATCAGTTTCCATTTGGTTGGTGCTACTATGGAAGCAACATCTTAACTGAAATATTTTAAGAAATGTACTGAAGACAAGATAATTCAGAGAGTGGTGAGATCAAGGGTCCACGTTGATTACATTTGGGACTATCTATACAAGATGATAAGAAATAGGAACAAGGGTAGGTTGCTTGACCCTTAGAGCTTACTCTGTCATTCAGTAGAATCGTGGCTGATCCGATGCTCCTCATGTCCACTGTCCCTCCCTCTTTTTTCCCTATAACCCTTGAATCCCTTTGCTGATGAAGAATCTATCTATCTCAGCCTTAAATATCCACAGGGACTCTCCTCCCAAAACTTTGTCGCAACACAGCCAATCCTCTGAGAAAATAAGTTCCTTCTCATCTTGGTCTTAAGTTGTTGCCCCTTAATTTTTGAGGTGATGCTGCATGGCCCAGCACACTCCCATGTGGAGAACCATCCTTTTGGCAGTTATCTTGTCAAGCCCTTAAGAAACCTAATTGTGTAAATGAGATCACCTCCCACTATTCTCAAACTCACTGAATAATGCTTAGCCTTCTGATTATAAGACGGTACCTTCATACTGGGGATCATTTCAGTGAATCTGCTGTGAACTGCTTCCAATGAAATGATATCTTTTGTTAAATTAGGGTACTGTACTGTTCACAGTACTCCAGAAGTGGTCTCACCAGCACCTTGTACAGTCAGGATGAAACCAGTGGTTTGCCTCTTCCCAGTATTAACTTGAATGAAACGATTATGTCCATAATTAGATTGTTTTGGTCTATGCAAGTTATTATGCTGTTTAGCTAATGCCACCTGTTTGTGTTCAAACTGAATCTGTGCTTCATCACTGAAGAACAGAAGGTGACTAAGGACAGAGAAACTTGATTTTTGCATTTGGCTGTGTGAGAGTGGAATTAATAAGCACTAATGGAATTTTTTAGAAAAGCAATTCTTCTTGGTGTCAACCACAGTCAAAGCGTTAACATTACTTGCCCATTCATAATTACTTTGCGACACCACATCTATCTTGTAATGTGGGATTGGCCTCATAGGATGATAGCGTCAGCTTATGTTTCCTACAGGGTATTTATAAACGGTTTAGCTTTTGCGACATAAAAACAGAAATTACTGGAAAAGCTCAGCGGGTCTGACAGCATCCGTGAAAAGAAATCAGAGTTAACATTTTGGGTCCTGTGACCCTTCCTCAGAACGTTGCAGTTCTTTTGATTTTTATTTAGCTTTTATGACAGTCTAGTACCTTCTTACCTGGACACCTGACCACAAATGCCCACATTTATTGCATTCCTTTTCATGACTTGACATAATGCTTTATGGATGAGGAAGGAATGAAATGACTTGCAGTTTATTGTAATAATGTGTGTTCTATAAATATTGGCAAATGTATTAAATTGTTGAAAATGTGCCTCTTCCATTATTTTTTCAAACAATAGTTGTGTTATGAAGCAAGTTAATTGCCACTGCAAAAACTAGCACTAATCATTTCAAATTTAGACCTATTCTGATTTCTTAGACAATGGAAACGTAGTGGCGCAAAGGCAGATATGACTTCTATCCTTTTTCTGATTTTACTATTTTTTTTTTTAATCCCCCCGAATTGAGTTTTGAAATGAAACAAGATTCTACAAGGGAAGGGGAAGGAATGGACAAGTGAACGAAGGCTTCTGTCTTTATATCACGGGCATAAGGAGTAGGTGTAAAGTTAAGGATAAGGTGAATCATGGTGGAGCAGAGAGCATTCTGGAAAGCGATCCAGAGAATGAAAGCTAAAATCCCACCTTGCCAGTTCTAGAGTTTGAATTTACTTCTGAA